AGAGAGAGAGAGAGAGAGAGAGAGAGAGAGAGATGAATTTGAAAAAGATGATTTTTCTGTGTACGAGAAGAATTTCCTAATGAAAAAAACCTATATTGCAAACAAACAAATGTAAAGCCATTAGAAATTTTCTGACCATACTTTTGATATTACCGCACGTTCTTGAAAATGAATTAACTCCGGTGGTAACGAATTAAATGCAAATCTCTCAACACACGATCGCCTTAATTATGTTTGATTGAAGATATTAAGGAAAGCTAAAGTGACGCGGTACGTTGCAACGCGTCGAAGGGATGGCGCGAGAGCCGCACCGAGAGACGCAGACTCCGATTGCTATATTTGGACGCACGTGTGCGTGCGCGCGTAGATGTATGGAGGGATAGATCTTATTAGACACCCTCTAGTCCAAATCATCAAAGGGATCTTGGAGTAAGGCCCGATTAGCTTTGGCATCCCGTAGCACTAGGATAGAGTTGATGTATATAGAGTTGATGTAGATGTTGTCGAGAGAGCAAATTGACGATGGATAATGCCGTATAGGTTGCTTAGTTGGGCACTAACTAACTAAAGCTAAACAGGTATAACCATAAGCGCGTAAATGGTCCACGCTGCAGCGCGTTATCGGTAACGAACGTATTTGTATTTTTGTATTTTGAATTTTGTCTCGCAATCAAAACGAATGGAAGCTCTTTCGGCTCTTATCGATCGATGTATTTCGATCGGGCGATTTAATGGGATAGATATTGTGGCGTTAAATTAGAAATTTGACATTTAATCATTATGATCATTCAGTTTTAGAAATTCAATTTTAAATTAAAATTATGCCAATATGTAAATAATTCCAACAATAATAATATGTATATTTTACTATGAACTTTCTACAATTTTTTTCTTTTCTCTTTAAACGAAGGGAAAATAGCGTGCATTTTATTGCGACATACGCTTCTTAAATCGATCGTTCGATTAAGAAATACGAACATGATAGCACTCATGTTTTATGCCTCTTGTGGACTGTGTGCTATCGATCATATATCCGATCAGATAATTCATTTTAAAAGCCTGTGCCATCAGGTCATTCGTATGCACTTTTCGAAGCAATACGACATTTACCAGATACACTCGGGGCGCTTGTGTGTACACTTCGTAAACTGTCTTTTACATATTTATTACTGCCGCAATACTGCTACGTGTCCCATGGGGCACATAGCGCTTTAAATGGCCGATCCTCCTTTATACGTCTCATATTTACTTGGCAAACGATAGGACAGATCGGTTGATACGAAATATACCATATAATAAATTTCAAGGCAATTATCGCGGCATAAGAGTAATGAACGAAAAAATAATAAATTAATCTTATCGTTCATTATAAATATATTTCTTTTGAAAAATTATAGAGTGAGCTTTGTAGAGCAAAAAGGAATTTGTAAGATTTGGTAGTTACCAGAGCACATTTTTCTTTCTTGTTTCCATACAATCGTTGCCGTTGGTAAGGCAAGAACGTGCGCGCGTGCGCGTATACTTTGATGAAATAATTTTATACTAATATCACTCCGGCATTGATCTCGCACAACCTTGGCTCCAGGCAAGACGGCACATTACTCCCATTACTACGGTGCGCAATAATGTCGGTACATACGAGCTGCCGCCGCAACCGCCTCATTTAATAAGAGCAAGAAGTTCGTACGCGGGGCTGTACAAAGCCGACTGTTTACGTCGGCGCCGCAGTGCAATTATAATTATAATGCCATTGTCGTTGCATTGCGGTGGTAAAAGGTTGGGGTAGCTGCGCGATGGGGATAGCGAGGGGGGACAATGGTGAAAGCCGATGTCAAATTAGCAAATCAAATTTCGCTCGGAATTATTTCAGTACGAGCTGCTAAACACCCTGCAGCGAAACGAGAGATGACGACAAACCACGCGTACAACGTAGGACGTAGCTAATTTAATTCGTTCAGAAAGAAAATAAAGATCAAATCTAGTCGACGTCCTACAATGCAATTTTCTTCGTCTATCTTTATTGTAATAACTCGCGGTAAGTCACGTGTAATAAAGATGTGTGTGTGTGTGTGTGTGTGTGTGTGTGTGTGTGTGTGTGTGTGTGTAG